GACATTAGGAAGCAGCCTTTACAAGCATTACTTGCTTGGTAACAATGTATGTTCAAAGCCTATACAAGCTGTATTTCTCCTGATGCTTGAAGCCATTGGTATTTTTAATTAACACTGAAGCATATTCCCCACACTTTCAAGTTGTGACATGTCCAGTGTAGCTCTGGAGAGATCATAGGTTTCCCACAATAAAAATAAAAACCAGTAACATCAACAGTCTCTGTGTAAACTCATTATGCTATTTAAAATGTGTACCGGTACTTTAATGGGATTTTTTTTTATCTTTGGTGTGTTCAAAATAAAAATACAATGGACCTGTTATCCACAAAAGGTGTAAATGACCAGATTAGTTTTCTTCAGATAATAAAATAAATGTATCTACTCTGGATAAGAGTGCTACATGAGCATTGTTAAAACAATAAGTCTATCAGGATTATAAACTAAAGTGAGAGTTTGGGGGAATTCAAAATTAACATAAAGTGAAATCTTACTTTGATAAATAACCCTGTATGTGTAAAGAACATAGCTGTAGCCTTATAGATGAATCCCCTTAAAGTGCCCCTGTCACTGTCTGCGGGCCCGACGGTGACATTTTTGCTTGGCCATGGGGGGGGGGAGAGAGATATACTTTCCTGAAACTGTCTCTCGCAGGTGCCGCCATGCTCTTCCTGCCGCTTCATCTGCCAGGAGTCGACATCAGCGATGTCTTCTCATGCATGCGCAACAGCATTGAGGTCTATGAAGAGCACTAGTAACCTCTGAGGAAAATGACAAGGCTTGACGGCGGTAGTTCTGCCTTGTGTCGAGATTTATCAGGCGTAGGAAAAATACTGAGACAAAGTAGTACCTACTTTGTGTCAGTATATCTTTTGACTTGATTGGAATGTCAGTGAAATTCCAACAGTCAATATGACTATTTTATAAAGATTTTATCTTTATGACATACTCATTTTGAAGGAATGAAGTGAGGGAGGGGGTGACTGTGACACTTTAATTTGGCAATTTTCCTTTAGACTGCAATATTTAGGCAGGGCAGCTACACAGTAAGATGAATATAAAATTATGAAAGGGTAGGATGAAGTTTAAAATCAGTTTGTTTTAGTCCCAAAATGGGCTATTTGTTTATATTTGCCCCTAAAACTAAAATTTTTCAATACTTCTCTGAACCAGAGTGCATTATTGGCTATCGTTGCATCCATTCACTCCCCAACTGTACAGTGAAAGATTTTATGATGCAGATCTTGCAACATTGCAAATGGACAAAGAGGGACCCTTACAATTTAGGGTTTTCAGTAGGGGTGAAGCAAGGGACAGGGCTTTTCTGACAAATTTAAGGTGATTTACTAATAACATATATGCAACTAAAATGTTACTTAGAAAAAGAACAATGTATGTTATTTAAACAGACCACTTTCTAAACATATTTATTACAGTTTAAAGATACATTACTGGGAGTATTATTGCTGTGGAGCTCTGTTATACACTCAGATACTCCAAGAATACTGAGCTCCCAGGAAACAGGGACATTATGATAGAAAAGAAGGACAGAGGTATTTGGGCTTAAAATAAGGACTGTCCCTCTTAAATAGGGACAGCTATGAAGCCAATTTATGTATTAACAATCCTCAAGGTGCACCTTATGTGGTAAAAAAAAATTGTTATTATACTAAGGATATTATTCTCAGGATATTATTAATTTCCTGGCAACTTTCCTTAACCAATATATAGATGGGATATCTATATTTACCTGAAGCTGACCTTGTCATCTCACAAACCTTTTGACAAATGAACACACATTGAGACCAAAAGGGAATATTTTTCCAACTGATTTCCCTGTCACGGTTCCCTGTTTTGTGGAATAGTCACATGTTGCATAGTTTGACAGTTCCCATTTTATCTCTAAACGGCAGAGCTCAATGTGCCCTCTGGCTCTCACCTGTGTGGTTCTAGTGATATTGTTGTCTGTTACCTAGTCCCCAGAGCATTTTGTAACAGAGTTCAATATAGAAGCATCGCCAAAACAACTACCTGACACACAAGTATAATGCAGGGCTTCTCATAGCGATTAGTTGTGAGAGTCCAGGGCTATTAGCTATTATTGTATAATGTTTACGTATTCTACAGCGCTGCACAACAAGCAAACCAAACCTACAGGTAATTGATAACAAACAGGAAAACTAAATCAAAGTGGGATGAAGGCCTTGATCAAATTACCTGCCAGTATTCTGCATATATTAACTAAACCAATTAAATTGTTATCTTAACCTATGTTACCATGTTGCTTTGAGAAAAAGTAGCCACCCAAATCCAGTTTTTGCTGTATATTGGCTAGTAATGTATTTTTAAGATAATATTACATTGTATTATCCGAAATTATTTTATATGATGAATACCACATATTCAATCATGCCGATTTTAAACTCAGCAACTATTTTGTTTTCTGCAGTTTTAACATCACACTTGCTAAATATTTTAGTTATATTTTATATGTAGTAAAAACCCTTCAGGGAAGTTTTTAGTGCAAACTTCTAAATATTAACAGACAATCCATTGTGGTGGGCCCTTTTTAGCACTATACCCCAGAATAGTACATATATTTACCTTGATAAATAGCCACCATTACTTATTTTCAGACTATTTTATTGAACACTTTTTATATAATATAATGATCAATGGGTATTATTTTTTTTAAAGGGTATTAGGAACACTGAAGGGGATTGGGTAACGCCCTTTCCTTTCTCCAACCTTCAGAGTTAGAAGATTAATTGATCACTGAATATTACAGTGTTCAAGAGGTTCATTTTTCTAAAGGGGACGTTGGGGCATTTGGCATATTGGGGAGGGGTTTAACCTCCAAAACATTAACTCAATAATTACAATCACTAGTTACTTATAGTGAGGCCTGGACGTTCACTGATCAATGTAAAAGGAGATTCAAGGCTCCTTCTCATACACAATCAATCGCTGTGAACATTAGGTAATCTTTGAGCGCAAACACAGACAGTTAGGGAATTGACAATCAGATATCTGATATTTATTGACATTTTATTAGGTACCGATTATCCATGATCACAATCCCAACATTCCAATTCTTTTCGATATTACTTTTACCTGGTTTAATGAAAAGCGGCCATGGAGGTGTGTGCATGCAAAGTGCACTCTACCATTGCACTTCTGTTCTACGTTTTGAGAAGTGCTCCGAAATGGGGAGGGGGGAAGCTACTTTAAGGAATGGAGGGAATAGCTGCCCCCATACCCCCAAGCAAGTGCTTGGGACAAATTTAAAACAAAAACCATTACAGAGCACATTTAGATTGCCCGCCTGACCCATATGCTTACTAGTTTAACATTTTACACCCCTGATTAATAATTAAACTCACTTCTACCTATATGCCCTCCAAACATATATGCTTTGAAAAGTCACAAACTAATCTCATTACTAACTTTAGACATTGTTAACCAAGTCCTTGATGATTAGAGGCTAACTGCAATTCTTTCCACTCATGCACGGCACCATTGTAGTGATAAAAGAAGCAGGATATATCTGTGTCTCTGTAATGCTTATAAAACTCGTTGATGGTTCCGGACGTGAAATGGTGCTATAATAACACACGTATTATGTAACTGCACCGTCAGCTTTTAAGGCATTAACCGGCTTCCCGATGGATCTTCAAAACACACAAGTGACACCATTAGAAGTGTAAGCCTGGGTGAAACTTGTTTTCTCAGTATACAATGTTTTTGTTTTTTTTATTCTTTATTTTTACTTGTGCATGAAGTAACAACAAGCGTGCAGAGCCACGACAGCAGCTGCAAGCATTTTCTTAGCATTTCAATGTGTGGCATTTTAAACAGCACATTTCTGTTTTTTTAACATGAAAATAACTGACTTTGTAACATCATAGCTCGTACTAAAACATGCTAGGCTAGACATGCATTTAGTTATGTTTAAGATTATGGTAAGGCTTATGGCATTGCATTTCTGAGAAGGGTAAACATTTATGCCATAGTGACAGCAGCTTAAAATCTCTAATTATTAGGATGAGCATGTCAGGTAGTAGGAGTCAGAGAAGAGACAAAGAGGGAAAGCATTGGATGTACATTCATCTCAGCACTGGATTTTTAACGTTGTGAGTCATATATGTCTGACAAAGTAGAACATTTACAAGAAATAGGCCACTGACATGAGGAGTATTAACTTAAATGGTCGTGTAAATGAGCCAGTAGGCAAGTGACCACTGGAGTCGAGCAGGACCCCGGGCAGCTACAAGGCTCTGTGTGGGGTCTGGTGGGGAGAAGAGGCCAAAAAGGGCAAAGTGGCAGCGGTGTACTGCTGTGCATCTTAGGTCTGAGGCTGCCAGCATGTTACGTGTAGCTGCTGTCTCTAACAAAGTCCACGTGTTTTGGGACTGCGGGTGTCTCTGTGCTTGCATGCCAGGATCGGTCTTCCTAGACCCCGGTCTGTACCACAGCTGCTCGGCACATAACGAGAGAATTGAGGTTCCTCCGACCTCTTCGATTGTCACAGGTACCAGATTGTGTGTTTTAGATCTGCTTTTGTTAGGCCTGTGGTATTCATATGTGAACAGCATCATTACAACCTCTATGTAAGAATTTTAATACTTTTTTGAATAAATGTGTATACTTGGTTTTGTAATTGGTGTGCCTGTTTTGCATCATTTATTTTGAGGAACAAGCTCCACACAGAAGGATATCCTTGGACTTTTCTTTCGCCTCTAAACACTTGAAAAAGAGACTGACAGAGGAGAAAGGTTATATTGAATCCTTCAGTATCTTCTGATTTTCAGTTAAGACCTGACTCTGTTTACACATTGGGGTATCTGTGTATTTTTTATTGGGTATATATACCTCTACATTGTATGTATCACATTTTACTCTGTGGCATCACTTTGTTTTGCGCTGCACACTATCTTTGTTACCTGGGTGAGTACAGCTTTCATCCTGTTTCGACTGCTTAGCTCCATTTGGTAGATACACGCTGCGGCATGGGTCCATTGCTCGCCACGTGTGTCCGGCCCCCCCAGAGAGGGTCTGTTGCGGGTGGCGGATCCAGTGACTTGCACGGTCTCCCTCTCTCCCAGCGCTGTAGCCCTCGAGTATCTGGCTTTGGGGACCTCCGCCGAGGTGATTGGCTTGGTTGCAGCTTAGAGAGACTCCGTGTTGTAGGGGTAGATGGTGGAGAGTCAGAAGCCGCCGCCATCTTGCAAGGTAAGCCTCGGACGTTTCTTGTGCCCCAGTCTCCCCACCTCTCAAGCTCTTCTCAGTGGGAACCGGGATGACCCACCCCCGGCCCAAAGGGGGGGAAACGGGACCGGCAAGCTGCTCTGGCAATCAGCGTGTGGCAGCTGGGAAGGGAGGCCTGGCAGCGGCCGTCCACCTCGCTCCCCTCCCGAGTAGGCCGCAGCCCTTGAAGCTTCGTTCTTCCACTATGGGGTCCAAAGCTCCCGATCTCGGGGTCCGCTACCTCTCCCACAGCCGTGGGTATTTCGTAGGCTTGTTGGTCATCATAATAATCTGCCATTTGTAGCTTAAGAGGCCCGATCGCTCCGGAGCCTCTCCTGTATGCGACCTGTTAGCATGGCGGTCCGGCCCGCCCCTCTCAGTACACAATGTTACTGCTATGGTTGATGGGATTAAAATTTGAAAGATAAATTATAGCACATCAAACAGGAATTTAACCTTGTAATATTTAATCAGGCATCCTTAGAAGGTGTGTTTATAATACAATAGGTCTCTTGTGATTTTTATTCAGATGTAGGTTTCTTTAAATAAATGGAAGGGGGTGCTTTGTCTGCAGCACGACAGTATTCATATGTCTGCTGTGAAACAAAATTAAAGAACCACCCAAATAACTATGTAATGCCCTTTAAAATCTCTAGATTCATCTCATCATTATCTAACATTCTATTCAAAGACAAGCTTACCAAGGTTATTCACCAGTGTGAATTGTCAAGAATCCAAATTGGGAGGTTATAGGTGGAATATTCTATTCTTTTACAGAGGTTATTTATAAAACACTGAATTTTTGTGAATTTGAGTAGGAAATGTCAGGCATTTTTTAATTTTAAATTTCAAAAGATGCCTAAAGATGCCTATAGAAAAGCAAAATTCTAACTAAGAGATTTTTTCGGTTTTCCGAGGACTGAATTTTAGCTCAGGGATAATGATCTAAGATTAAACACATGAGTAGCATGGAGTTAACCCCTTAAAGACACATGACGGAAATATTCTGTCATGATCGCCTTTTATTACAGAAGTTGTGTCCTTAAGGGGTTAAACTAGCTCTCCAGCTGTTGTACAAAGACAAATCCTGTGATGGTTTAACAGATGTACGGATGCATGGTCCCCCAACAAAGTAGAACGCAGGTGGGTGGTGTAAAATGAGGCAGGTCAGTGACACAAAGTGCATCAATGGCTTTGCCCAAAGGAATCCATCAAGGGACAAGTCTGCCAGCAGAATAGGCATGCCATCCCCTGGTGATAATGCATGCCAGGTTGTCTGCCAATCACATAGGCCATTCCACGAAAGGCAGTCCATGCAACGAACACTGTTTCAACACTCTCTCCAGGGTCTGAGTACCCTGAGTCTAATGCAGAGGGGTCCAAAGTTGCTCACTCATTATGCTTTTTGGGGAACACCACGGATCAAAGTCAGGATCCTAAATAGGGACTGTACCACCGTATTCAGGGCTGTTTGGGAGGTATGCAGCTAGCAAAACATCACCTGGCATTACAGCATTACTCAGAACTCAGAACTCAGAGTAGTGCATTATTTGTTAGTTTCTTAGGGAGCCACCATCCCAAACATTTGTGCTTATATTTTGTAAAAACTAATAGACAAGGCATCAGTGTATGTACATAAAACTTTGCCATCAAAAAAGGTGTATGCAAAAAATTGTTAAAAAAATACTCCACGTACTATAATCATAATGCACCATAACCCCTCCTCCCCGAATGGTTAAACCATTTTAGAGTGGTTTGTCTTCTGGTAACCGCTCCCTACATCCTCTACACCCTCATAAAGAGTCAGTATTTCTCTGCCTGAGCTAGCTAAGTGGTGCAGGGCTTAGCTCAGGAGAGCTAAAGGAAGCTCCTAAGCAGGAGCTAATGGCTCTCACGACTGTTGACAGGAGGGCGAGCAACAAAATTATTTTAAAATTTTAGATATTTAGAGTTAATATTTTTGGCAAATATATTATCATTATGAACAAATTATTCAGATTTCATTGACTATATTCCAAAGTAATGTATCTTAACCACTAAAAGCACAAACCAAGCCTATAATTCTTTTAAAGCTTTAACACATTTAAAAAATATTTTCCTTCTACACGCAATTGATTTAAATGATTTAGGTTTCCACGCAAAAGTCTATAAGTCTATGCGTGCAGTTATTGGTTGGATTTATTTTATGTGCAATTTACCTTGTAACCAAAACAGAAATGAAACATTTACTTTCCATAATATGACAGAATTTGTAGTACTGCTGTGTGTGCAGCAGTGAAATGGTTAATAAATATGATTACCCAAAAAAAAGGTACATAGTAATTACTATGTATAATAAGATACTGAGGCAATGGCTCAAAATATAGTAGACAGGGATTTACAAGCAAGAATGTTGAGTTAAATTGTACTACATGATGCAAAAATAATATTTTTTTAAATGTAATTTTGATTTAGATTTATTTAGCCAGTAAAATATATTTCTGAAAACCTTACTTCATTTACATAATAATATTGAGTCAGTTTAAATGGGTTGGAGGTTAAATGAATAAAGCCACCATTCCAAGTTATTGCACCAATGCTACAATGTGTCCAGTGTGAGCGTTCCATTCCGGACAGGAACGGGTTACTCCGCTCTAACTTTCTCTGCGTTTTCCCACGGCTTGTGGGCTTGACTCCGCCTCCTCCCTGCATTGTGACGTCACTCACCTTTAATCGCTGCCTGACAGCACGGCGTCCTCTGCGCATGCGCAGCATAGTCTGCGCTGCACCAACTAGGTACACGTCACTGAGCCAGGCTCCCACTGCTGCAGTACCAGCACAACCCAAATAAGAACTGCTGCAGTGTGCTTAAGAGCAGTGCCTCGTGGCTGAAATGGGCTAGATCGCCGTCATATGCAGAGACAGCAGGAGACACCTGTAAAATATCACACAGATTGCGAGACCCAGTGCTACACTATATAGGCTGCAATACCCAAATCCAGACCCAGTGCCATAATATATATACTGTGTGAGACCCAGTGCCATAATATATATACTGTGTGAGACCCAGTGCCATAATATATATATACTGTGTGAGACCCAGTGCCATAATATATATATACTGTGTGAGACCCAGTGCCATAATATATATATATACTGTGTGAGACCCAGTGCCATATATATATATACTGTGTGAGACCCCATATATATATAGTATACCCCAGTGCCATATATATATATATATACCCAGTGCCATATATATATACTGTGAGACCCAGTGCCATAATATATATACTGTGTAAGACCCAGTGCCATAATATATATATACTGTGTGAGACCCAGTGCCATAATATATATACTGTGTGAGACCCAGTGCCATAATATATATATATATATACTGTGTGAGACCCAGTGCCATAATATATATACTGTGTGAGACCCAGTGCCATAATATATATATACTGTGTGAGACCCAGTGCCATAATATATATACTGTGTGAGACCCAGTGCCATAATATATATATATATATATATATATATATATATATATATATATATATATATATATATACACTGTGTGAGACCCAGTGCCATAATATATATACTGTGTGAGATCTGGTGCCACAATATATAGAATGACCCAGTGCCATTATATATATTTACTGTGTGAGATCTAGTGATACTCTATATAGACTGTAAAACACAAATCCACAACATAGTGACTAGGAGAAACCCAGTGCCATAATATATGAAATATGAGACTAGGACCTGTAATATATAGACTGTGTGAGACCCTATGCCATACTATAAAGACTGGTGATTTACCTGTCTGACATATTTTGCCTTTTCATTAAATGAAAGAAAGTCATAAATTAAAATTAACAATAATGTAAATTTCTTTTAAACCACGTCTTCTTTTTACTGTGCAAGAAGATAAAGTAAGACAATGTTTGTGGTCAGTAAACAGGGATGGGATTCATTGTGGGATACTGGGTTAGACTGTGTGTGGTCCAGTGCTGTAGTGTAAAGCCAAACAAATGAATAGTTGCTGCACTGTAGCAATGAAGGCATAATCCTGTCTTGCATATCCATTGTGAAACCCATTGCTGTGTTTCACAATGACCCAGTGCTGTGTAGTGGATAGTCATTGGGTGACACAGTGCTGCATAGTTTATAGTCATTGTGTGACACAGTCCTGTGTAGTGGATAGTCATTGCGTGACCCAGAGCTGTATAGTGGATAGTCATTGCGTGACCAAGTGCTGTATAGTGGATAGTCATTGCGTGACCCAGTCCTATGTAGTGGATAGTCATTGTGTGACCCAGTACTGTATAGTGGATAGTCATTGCGTGACCCAGTGCTGTATAGTGGATAGTCATTGCGTGACCCAGTGCTGTATAGTGGATAGTCATTGCGTGACCAAGTGCTGTATAGTGGATAGTCATTGTGTGACACAGTCCTGTGTAGTGGATAGTCATTGCGTGACCCAGAGCTGTATAGTGGATAGTCATTGCGTGACCAAGTGCTGTATAGTGGATAGTCATTGTGTGACCCAGTACTGTATAGTAGATAGTCATTGTGTGACCCAGTGCTGTGTAGTGGATAGTCATTGTGTGACCCAGTACTGTATAGTGGATAGTCATTGTGTGACCCATTGCTGTGTAGTGGATAGTCATTGTGTAACCCAGTCCTGTGTAGTGGATTGTCATTGTGTGACCCAGTGCTGTGTAGTGGATAGTCATTGCGTGACCCAGTCCTGTCTAGTGGATAGTCATTGCGTGACACAGTCCTGTGTAGTGGATAGTCATTGCGTGACACAGTGCTGTGTAGTGGATAGTTATTGTGAGACCCAGTACTGTAGTGTGAAGCCAAACAAATGAATAGGTGCTGCACTGTAGCAATGAAGGCATAATCCTGTCTTGCATATCCATTGTGAAACCCATTGCTGTATAGTGGATAGTCATTGTCTGACCCAGTCCTGTGTAGTGGACAGTCATT